ACCCCTTGCTCCTGGCCTAGAAGCTCAGCTCTGGCCCAGCCAAGCCAGCCTGCCTGGGGTCTCACCTAAACAACTCTGTTTATTAAACAGATGCCTCCAGAATGGTCAGCCAGAGTGGCCCAGCCTGGCCCAGCCAGGGAGGGCAAACTAAGAAGACAGACAAGGAATTGGTGTGGCAGAATGTGGGGAAAACAGGACTAAGGCTGCCAGGGCTGGGGCAGACAGAACAATGACCTTCACTGTTGAGCCCCACTCAGAAGACTCACAAACAACATCTTTACAGAAAAAGCCAGGGAGAAAAGAGGGTGCTAGACCCCACTCAGACTCTCCAGAGCCTCTCCAGGGTCAAAAAGAGGCCTTCCTTACCCCAGGAAACAAAGAGAGTTTGGAGCCTCCAGAATAGCTTCCTGAGAATGCTGAGAGCCAAGGGGCAGAGAGTTGGTGATGCCTCTAAATCCCCAGGCAGCCCTCTTTGCTGGCTGCTGGGTTCTGAGGCCCTCCCCTCCAGGGTGTGGGTCTCTGACTGGCCCTGCTGTGGGTACCTGCCCCAGGATCTCCTGTCTCTCTCCAGACCTTAGTCTATCCGGCAACAGGAAACAGCACCTCAGTCCAGCAGCGGGGAGATATGGGTGAGAGGTCGGCTGAGCCACAGGAGCAAACAAGAAGCAAGACTGTGGTCTGACTGTGGTCAGAGAGCCAAGCCCCTCATGGAGATCACAGCACAGCCTGCTTCTGCAGAGTCTGTGTACACCAGCCACGGTGTCACTATGTCCAGTGGGGTTCAGTCCCTGGATTGTTTAGTGTCTTCTCACTCAGGCCCCATGTTCCATAGGACTGGAGTTTCAGAGCAAGTAAGTCACTTGCCAAAGGTGTAGGGAAAGTTGGACTTGAATCCAGGCTGTCAGAGCCCAAAGCTCCTGCTGTTAACCTTTAGGCTACACTGATGCTGTCCTCTCCAGTTAGAGGAAGGCTGGCTCAGTGACAGACCAGATCTGGGAAAAGGCTGTCACACTGCATCAGGAGCTATGCTTGAGACTTTTAATATCATCTGGAGAAAGAGCGGATACTCCATGGCCTTCCCACAAGGTCCCTGAGAGATAGCCCAAGCTGGACAGGACCTTTATGAAGCCAATGGACGCCAGGCACTGATGGCTTATGTCTGTAATCTTATCTACCCAGGAAGTTGAGATCTGAGCATTATGGTTTGAAGCCAGTCCAGGCAGGGAAGTCTATGAGACTCTTACCTCCAATATACTACCAAAAACCTGGAAGTGGAGCTATGGTTCAAGTGGTAGAATGCTAACCCGAGCAGAAAAGCTCAGGGACAGTGCCCAGGCCCTGAGTTCAAGCCTCAGGAGCAGTGTGTGTGTGTGCGCATGCGCACATGCGCACGCGCGCGCGCGCGCGCGCACACACACACACACACACACACACACACACAAAGCCAATGGAGGCCAATGGATGTTGGGGGAGGGAATTTAGATCATGAAAAAGAAAAAGAGTTCACTAAACTCCATCTCCAAAGTAACAAGCAAAAAATAGGGCTGGAATTCAAATCCTACTACTGCAGGGAGTGTTGGGAGTGTTTGGGGGGATTGGAGCGATAGGAACATCTGTCCACAGCTGCACCCTGGCTTGGCCTTACTTCCCTGGGGGGATAGTAGTTCCTCTGCCCTCTCTGAGACCCAGGAGCCAGCTTTGCATGGGTACAATCAGTGGCCACAGCGATCAAGAGCATAGAACTGCAGTTTACCTTCATGTTTCTGGTTTGGCTCTGACTTCCTCTAGCAGGAGTGGAGGCACAGTGGGGGGAGGGGAAGATTTCCACTTTCATAGCCCTTTTTCCACTCACACCCAGCATGTGGCAAGCTCTCAATGGTTCTCAAGAGCCTCTAAGAGGTGAACTGGGTCCTGACCCTCTTCTGTCTTCATGGCTCCTTTTCTGCCTTGAGAAAAAAAACCAGTCTTCCCAAATGACCCCTTAGATCTTGCTCATCCTGGCCCCTTCCTACCTTCCTGGTCGTGTCATCTCTGTTGGGACAATCCTTTCCTCTCCTTGAAAGTATTTGTTCAGTCTCTACTCCAGGCTTCAGCCTAAACTTCTGGGAGTTCCCTACCCAATCACAACCAGATCCCCACTATTGGTTCCTCTCTCAGAAGCATGAAGTCTGTGTATGATGGTTTGTTTGCTTGGCACCTTCAGTCCAGCACCTCACCAAATGTTTACCAAAGTATAGATTAGATCAAAGAGGAGACAGGACATCCACAGGTAACCTCATCCTTCTAAGCTGATACTGCTATTGAGCAACAGAAAAAATAAAGAGATCAAGTGTGGGTTGATCACTTCAGTTGGCCACAGAGAGGCCAAAAGGACACAGCCTGGGGGAAGCCCCAGACTGAGATGTCAGTATCCACAGCAGAGGGACTAGGGAAGCATCCAGCCGCGAAGTGCATGAAATGCCAGGAGCTGGAGCCCCAGTCCATCCGTCACCCAGCACCCCTCCCCCGTGTCTTGTGGTAAGGCAAAACAAGCTAAGGAACAACAGCTATTTTCTTTTTTCTCTCACCTCACCAAGCTGAAATCTAATACCATGTCTGGAGCCCAGATTCTGACCATAGTCCTGACAAAGAATTCTGGGAACCTTTCAACAGGTTCAGGCAAATTTCCTTTGGAAAACAAACAGCATCAATCTGAAAAGCAACAAGAAGCTGAGGAATTTGCATCAGCTATATACTGGTCAGCTCTTCAAAATTCTAATTCATGGGGTTGGGAAGGTGGCTCAGTGGTAGACTGTTTGCCTTTCATGCATGAGGCCCTGGGTTCTATTCCTCAGCACCACATAAGCAGAAAAAAACGGAAGCGTGGCTGTGGCTCAAGTGGTTGGAGTTGAAGTGGCCTTGAGTTGAAGAGCTGAGGGACAGTGCCAGGCCCAGAGTTCAGGCCCCATGACTGACCAAAAAAAAAAAAAAATCTAATCCAATAAATGTAATAAATGCCCTAATTGCTTCTCTGCAACTCAGCCATCCAAGTTTGATATAATATTAGGCCTGAGTGCAAACCTTGACCCAAGCTTCACCAGCAACTCCCAGTAAGTGCAACAAGGGGGCTTCTAGCTCCAAAAGACAACAGGTTAGATGGATTCCAAGAAGCAAGGAGCAGGGAAGCCAGGGAGATAAGCTGTGTGGAATCAGCAGGCTTTCCCGCTGAGCATGCTGATCAGCCAGTTTGCCAGATAATCAGAAAAGGTAAAATCAAAAGCAGGAGCAAAGACATGGGATAAGAAGTTGATGTTCAACCCATAATCCTGACCCTTCACCTTCACTTTGGTTTGTAGGAGTGACCTGTCAAGTGTCTCCTAGGCTTAAATACTAACTCAGAGCTGTATTGGCAGAATCTCTGCAATCACTCCCACCCAAAGGAAGAAGCCAAGATTTTTGGAAATATCATATAATCAATTATATAATTGGTTAATATCATATAATCAATTATATAAAAAGACAATCCATGAAAACAAAAAGTCCCTACAATTTGACTTTCCCAACACCAGAGTTATTTTTTTTTAACCACAACAGTCCTCTAGTCCAGGTGAGATACTTAAAGCTTTGTCTAGGGATGGCATTTTTTTTTCTTTTTTTGTTTTTGAAACTCCCCGTGTACTCTGAAAGAGAGGAAGAGCCAAACACTCTAACCTGTTCCTTCCAAAAGAGTCATTAATATCCTAACATCTCTTGGATAAAACAGAAAGCTAGATCAAGGAACAAGGTCTGACTCTCATCTCCCAAGATTTCTTGCTGATGTGGGGAAAGGCCTGCCAAGAACCCTTAGGCTGTTAGGAAATGTTTTTGAGTGGCTAAAGGCTAAAGGTTGATTATAAATGATATACTTTCTGCTCTCTCCCAGGCAGCCTCCAATTCCTTCCCTTTCTCCTGCCCTTAACCTCTCCTGCCAAGTCTCCCTAGACACTCAGGAATCCTCTGAACTGAAAGGAAAAGGGAGGATTACAGGCAACAAGAACCAGTCTAAAGCTTTTTCTTCTAAGAAAACTAGAAATAAAAGGCATTGCAGGGGGTGAGTCAGGGAGTCAGCATTGGACTATCTCCATCACAAGGGAATCAAGCACTTGGGTAGATTTTGAGTTCAACTATTACACAGTCTCTGCTGGGGACAGGGAGAAAGCGAAGGGAAGCCTTTCCTACCCAGTTGCCTTAGCAGGAGGATAGAGTTTAGGAACCAAGTTAACCTTTATGGTGGGCTTTTCTGCAGCAGTTAAAGTGGGAAGGTGCAGGGTGGTCAGATTTCATGTAGGCAAGCATCCTCAGCCTGCCTTCAGCAATCTGGAGGTACAAAAAAAAGGAAGCAAACCTAACATCATTTCCCTAACTGTGCCCTTCCTCTTCCTGCCCCTAGGGTTGGAAGGCCACTGAGGTGTTCTCACAGTTTGTGGAAAGAAAGGACCTTTGGAGAATCATAACGCAAAGCAAAACAAAAAGACAAGAAATTATGTCTGCAAGCCCTTAGGAGACTCCATAATGGCCTGATTGAAAAACATCCTTGGGGTGGAGGCAAAGCCACTTCCTCCCTTTTGCCTTACCCCAGGCCCCGAATCAAGAGTTCCTCTTTCTTACAACCAGGGAGCAACATGTTTATTGCAAGACAAGCGATATTCCAGGCAGCCCCTGGAAAACCGAAGTCCAGCAAGGAGAAAGAACTGGATATGGGAGTTTAGGGGTCTGTCACAGTCCCCGGGTCCAGCAAACCAGAAGAGTCCAAGCCTCTGTTTCTTCATCACAAAACGGGGACGAGGATATGATACCAAATAGAGCTGGGTGAGGATCCAAAGGGCCTTTGGATACCCGGGAGCACTGCGCAGTGATGGGGATAAGCAGTGCTGACTGGGTCTTGGCCACCATCCGCCCTCTCCCAAAGCTCCCCTCAAGGAGCCAACCTGAGCGCCCCCTCTCGATCCCCCCCCCCTCTCCCGCCCCGGTACCCATCTTACCTGGCTCAGTACACAGGTAGGAGTAAAAGCCTTCCGACTTGAGCATGATAAGCAGTGAACCCCAGCCCAGGAGGACTGCCGAGAAGAGGAGGTTTTCCAGCACAGCAGTGCAGGCCATCCACCAGCGGCGCCGATGGGCAGTGGCCAGGGTGGGCGCCATGGTGCGACGCGGCGCGGCTGCCCGGCTCCGGCTCTACGATCACCTGCGCCAGACCCCCGCGTCAGTGCCCGTCCGGAACAGCCCGCACCGCCACCCCTGGCCGCTGCCTGAGGGCGCGGAGCTTGTCACCCTTCCTCGGCCCCCGCTGTAGGTGTGCGCAGCGAAGTAAGCAAGCCCCAACCCTACCCCGGACCTAGGACGCCCCCGAACCCGTGGCTGGCTCATACCGTTGCCCTCAGCTACGCTGACAAGGAAAGAAGACTTCTCCCTCAGCTGACTCCGAGGTAAACTGAGGCAAGGAAGCATGAAGAGATTAACGCATGCTCAAAGACGTGGAACTAGTCCTAGACCCAAGCAGGATGACATAGCTACGGTGGGGGTGGGAAGCGGAGGCAGCTTGAGATATGGCCACCTGGGCAGGGGCACACCTGAGAGCTGCCACTCCCAGGGACCGTCAGAGGCTCTGTCCCGCCCGCACTCAAGACCCTTCCCCAGAGCTGGTTCCTCTAACCACAAGATCAGCGTTCCGAGCCCCGGAACGGCCCGCCCACGGCGCGCTCATTGGTCTGGCTGCACAGGAACTGCTGCGCCATTGGACACCGTCTAGGTCGCTAGGCGCTGCGGCCACGCGAACCCCACACGGAGAAGGCGAAGCCGGTTCAAACCGGCGGCGCGAGCCAGCCGCGCGACCCCGCGGTTCTGGGCTGTTACCTCCGTAATTAGCCTGTTTCCATAAAGGCAGGTCCCCAGCCCTCTCTCCCCCAGCTCCCTCTACTATTTGTCATCTCTTCTCCTCATCCGCCGGGTCTCCCTGAGCCTTTTCAAGTGCATCTTCTGCATCCCGCACCCTCGCCTCGGGCCGGGATCCCGGGAGGTCCAGCTCACCCGGCTCCTACTGGTGTGTGTCGGGCCCGCCCGGAGCCTTTTCTGTCCCCTTTTATTCCAGCCCTTTTATTCCGACCCTAAGATGAAAAGCAGTGCTTCCCGCTGATTGGCTGAGTAGGAGCTGGAAACAGGCGTTGACCAATCAGCAGCTACCCGCCCGCCCCCCGGCAAGCAGAAGCCGGTTCCGGCCGGACTTGGAGACAAACAAGAGAGTTGGGGCGGGCGGGCGAGCGGGCGGGGGTTGGGGTGGGGGGCTGGGGATCGCTAGGGGCTGTGCCTCGGTTCTGCTGTCTTGGAGTCGCAGCCGGGCCGGGAATCCCCGGGAGGTTTGACCCTAGCCTCCTCAGACGCTGTCCGGAGACCTGACGCTGGGCCGATCGCCTGTCTCGGCGATCTTCCGTTCCCCGAACTTCCCCAGCAGCACGGCGGTCCCTCTCTTCAGCCGGCTGGGCTCCTGCCTCCGCTCCGCTCCGGCCTGCTCTGTCGTACCCAGTTCCCCCGCGCCCAGTGCGCCACGCCCGGACGCGATGGCTCCCCACGGAGCTGGTCAGCTCCGGAGGCACCCCACCCCGCCTCCTCCCCACCCCGTGCTGCAGCCCCTGCTTCCTTGATCTTGTGTCCTGGTTCCCAGCTGTTCTGTGTCGGGTGGTCCCGAACCGGGTGCATTGTGAGGGTTTGGGATCCGGGGCTCCTGTCCTGGTGTGATGTAAGTCTTCCCTGCTGTTCAGATGCGTAGGTCCTTTCCCCTCTCCTAAGTGTCACCGGCCTGTTCATCATAACTGTACCCTGAAGATCTTTATACAGGACTTTGGGGCTTGTCTGTCCCGTGTGAGGACGGTGTCTCCTCTGGTCCTCAGACTCTGGGTCCCCCCCTGCCCCAACCCCGCTCCTACATTGCTCAGTCCCCATGGGAACCCCCTACCCAGACAGGAGCTCCCTGCCCTTCTTCCCTGTTCCCCAATGTCTCCTTCAGGTGAGAGTTTTCTTTGCAAAGCGTCGCTGCGAATAATGCCAAGCTGTCAGTTTGGCCCCAGAGGGTGCACGGGATTTCCAGGGATCTAGAGGACTCTGGCTTGTCTGTATACCTGCTGCCAGGGCAGGCAGAGGGAGCCACAGTTGTGAAAATTCAGCTGTCTGGTTACATCTTCCTAATTTAACCTCAGAAGACTCCTTCGCCCCAGATTCCTTACACTATGGAAGCTGCTTGACCCCTGGGCCCGGAGTCCAGCAGCTTCCTGCTCCACTTCGCTCAGTCCGCGTGCGCCCCCTGCTGTCCGGAGCCCGCCGCTGACCACCCTGCCAGGGTGTCCTTGCCCAGACAGGGAGAGAGGCCTGTGGGTTTGCCGGGGTCCTAACCGGTTACCTGGCCCGTTACTCATCCACTTAGGGTCTTAAGTTGTTACTTGACAAATTCCCAGCCCTTCTCCGGTCTTCCATAATCCGACTACTCAAGGACCTCTCCAGGCCTCCAACATTTAAATAATGCACTGTCTCCCTCAAAACTGTGTTGTCATTCTCCCTCAGACAATCACCTTTATCCACTGAAGTAGATCTTCCAACAAATATTTGATGGACACTTGCTGTGATTCTCCCCTCTCCTCCACCTCACCCCCCTCCACCACTACAGCAATGTCTCCAGTTTATTTTAGCCATTTATGTTCAGTATTTCAGTCTCTGTCTCCCAAGTCTAACTCTCAGTCCCTCCTAGTGAGCTATGAGAAATATTAATCTGATCCTGTAAGCCTGGCCTCTACCAAAATCCTTTAGAAACGACCTTTTGTTCTGCAAGATGAAGTTCAAGTTCTCCAACCTGACCCCACACTGGCTCTTCCCCACTAACCTTTTCTCCCTTCTACAGGCAGTTTGCCCTGCGTGATCCTAGAAGCTCCACTCAGATGAAATTACCTGTGGTTCCAGTTTCACTCTTCTCTATCCTCTGGTCTTGAGCATAGCTGTTTTGGGACAGCATCTCTTCTGGGAAGCCTTCCTTAGCCACTCTCCAGGATTTCCTTAGCTACCCATGTCCATTGATTGCATTGTTTCATAATTATTCATCTGTGTGCATCTCCCCTTTTCCAATGACTATAAATTATTTTGGGGCAGGAATATGTCTTACTCAGCTTTGCATAAGCAGCCCTTAATACTGAAGTATGAACAAAGCAAGTACATAATATGAGTTTGTGAATGGAAACACAAGTGAAAGTGCTAAAAAAATTATCTGGTTCTAAACTGGGAGCTGGTGGCTCACACCTGTAATCCTAGCTACTCGGGAAGCTGAGATCTGAGGATTGTGGGTTGAAGCCAGTCCAGTCAGGAAAGTCCTTGAGACTTTTTTTTTTGGTAGGTCCTGGGACCTGAACTCTGGGCCTGGGCTCTGTCCCTCAGCTCTTCAGCTCAAGGCTAGTGCTCTACCACTTAAGCCACAGCACCATTTCTGCCTTTTTCTGCTTATGTGGTGCTGAGGAATCCAACCCAGGGCCTCATGCATGCAAGGCAAGCGCTCTACCACTGAGACCCTTATCTCCAGTAAACTACCAAAAAACACAACAAAACAGAAGTGTAGATGTGGCTCAAGTGATAGACCACTAGCCTTGAGCAAAAGAAGCTCAGGGACAATACAAAGGCCCTGAGTTCAAACCCTAGGACCAGCACACAAAAAAGAAAAAGAACAAGAAAAAGTATTTGGTTCAGCTAGGCATGAATGTTCATGCCTGGAATCCTAGCTACTCAGGAGGCTGAGCTCTGAGGATGAAGGTTCCAGACTGAGCCAGACAAATCCAAAAGATTTTTTTTGGGGGGGGTCCTGTCATGGGGCCTGAACTCTGGGTCTGGGCACTGTCCCTCAGCTCTTCAGCTCAAAGCTAGCGCTCTACCACTTGAGCCACAACGCCACTTCTGGCTTTTTTACTTTTTGCTTATGTGGTGCTGACGAATCAAACCCAGGGCCTCAGGCATGCAAGGCAAGCACTCTACCACTGAGCCACCTTCCCAGCCCTAGTGGCCCTTTCTTGAAGGCTAAACATTTAATAGGTGCCTTAATCTTTGTGTCATTCAATCCTACAACCACTACGGGAGAAAGGCCCTTATTCCATTTTCCAGGTGAAAAGCTAAGGCTTTAAATGACTCTCCTAAAGACAGACAGACAGACAGACAGACAGACACACACACACACACACACACACACACACACACACACACACCTAGCACCTGGCATTTGAACCCAGATCCATCTAAATAAAACTTGATTTTTTTTAATCAGGCATGTCAAGACCCCAACACAGCATTGTGTAAAAGTCATAAAGAAATGAAAGTATTGCTTGGTTCTAAAATAAAACTAATAGCAATTAAGATCTTTGAACAAGAAACAGTGCCAGTGGTCCACACCTGTACTAGCTACTCAGGATTCTGAAATCTGAGGGTCAAGGTTCAAAGGCAGCCTCTGCAGAAAGTCTGTAAGACTCTTATTTATTGTAAATTAATTTACTATTGTTATAAAGGTGATGAGGGTACAGAGGGATTATAATTACATGAGTCAGGTACTGAGCACATTTCCTTTCATACAGTATTTTCTATTCTCTCATTCTCTCCCAGTTGACTCTTATTTAATAAAGTATCTGGTTCCGGCTGGGAATATGGCTTAATGGTAGAGTGCTTGCCTAGCATGCATGAAGCCCTGGGTTCAATGCCTCAGTACCATATAAACAGAAAAAGCTGGAAGTGGCACTGTGGCTCAAGTGGTGGTGTGCTAGCCTTGAGAAATAGAAGCTTAGGGACAGTGCCAAGGCCCTGAGTTCAAGCAAAAAAAAAAAAAGTATCTGGTTCAGCTTGGCACAATTGCTCATGCCTGGAATCCTAGGAGGCTGAGAGCTGAAGATCAAGGTTCCAAGCCAGCCTGAGCAGACAAATCCAAGAGACTCTTATCTTCAATTAACCCCCACCCCCATCCCCCCAAAAAAGCCTGGAAGTGAAGCTGTGGCTCAAGTTATAGAGTGCTAGTCTTGAACAATATGAATTGAGACAGTACCCAGGCCCTGAGTTCATGCCCCAGGAAAAGGAAAGAGGGAGGAAAGGAAGGAAGGAAGGAAGAGAGGGAGGAAAGGAAGGAGGGAGGGAGGGAGGGAGGAGGGAGGGAAGGAAGGAGGGAGGGAGGGAAGAAGGGAGGGAGGGGAAAGAAGGAAGGAAGGGAGGGAAGGGGAAGGGAGTAGAAGAGAAGAGAAAAGAGGAAGAGAAGAAAAAATTGGAGATGTGACTCAGTGGTAGAATCCTTGCCTAGCATGTATGAAGACTTGGACTCAATCCTCAACCCTGCAAAATATAAAAATAAAACCAATAAAGTGCTACTCAGGAGACTGAGACCTGGAGGATCTCACAAGGCCCTGAGTTCAAAGTACCAGCACCAAAAAATTAAAAAGTCATAAAGACAAAAATCTAAGTTAAAACTTTAAATTTCTATGGAGATGAAAATCTCTAAATGAGATTTTTAAATGTTACAAACTGAGCAAGGAACTAATATCCTCGATATGTAAAAGGCACTTAGAGCTGGGGTGTGGCTCAGGAGGTAGTTGTAGGAGTTCAATCACAGTACTGCCAAAAATGATTAAT